AAGTTCAGAGTGGGGTGGCCAAACCCTCCCCTCACCTCTGAAAATCAGAGAGCAAGAGGGAAAAAAGTTTGGGCCATGCGATACCCCAAAACTGTGGGCACTCGTCTATGCATGCGAGTATTCATGCCCTACTGGGTCCAGCCTCTTTTCCGAAGGGCCCTTACAGCATATTAGCTAGGGCCCTTTGTGTAGCAGAGGCAAACTTCACACTACCTACTTCTAGGCGTGGGCCAAGAATATATAATCTGGATTCGAATCCAGGTCTCTGCATCTCGGTTATGGGTCACTATTTCTCGTTGTTCTCGTTTTCCATTTCTTTCGTTTTCCTTTTCTTTTGTTTTCCTTTCTTCCGTTTTCCTTTTCTTAGGAATACGTGCAGTGGCCCTGAGGGCCTCTAATCATGACCATGCATAAAAGACAAAACATATGGCGGCGTACTATTCCACGTTCTGCAGAAGATTCATTCTAATTTTGCACATTTGGTGAGTAGTGCAGCCAAAMCCTGAGAATCACGTGTAGAGAACAACAGGCCATAGCTTACTGACCAACCCATAACTGCTGAATTACAAACCTGAATTCAAATCTCCACTATATATTCGGCCAGCTCGTCATGCAATTCACGTTCACTGCCTGCCTCGTTTTTGGATGGGGGTCTGGGCTTCAATGCTGCGAGGACCCTTAAGAGTGCCTGCATCGGCAGCCTGAGGTGTGTTAAGGGGATCCGTTCCTCTCACAGGCCCCTGAAAAACAACAACATGGAGTTGAGAGGAAGGATGTAGGGGCCCACACACACACCTTTAAAAAGAAAAAAAATCAAAAATAACTAAAAATAAAAAAATAAAATAAAAAAAATTGAGCGCATCACCAATTTGCGCAAGGGCACCGCACGGCGCAGCGCAGAAGTGCGCCGCAAGTATGGATTCGACATTTTGTGGCAGACATTGATCGGACATTCGGCAGGGAGACTATTTTGGACTTCGCTATGGCGGTCTTGGTCTTCTCCCTCATCTCCATCTTCGTCTCGCCTTTTCCCCCATCTCCTCATCCATGGTATCTCCCCATTTGCGTGCTCAAGGAGGGAACTTTCTTCTGTGTATGAGGTCCCTACCCTCTCTCTCACATGTGTGGTGTGTGATGGGGTGCTGCGTCAGTATCTGACAGGTCAGGTCATATCTTTGAGTCTCCCACTGCGCTACATTGTGCTATTTTTGCATGTATCTGGATGTACATTGCTTGTTGATGCTTTGCTGACACTACATTGTCCCTTCGAGTCCTTTTCATCACTTTGCGGATCCTTGTCTCCATATACATCGCTCGAGCGAGCATGTGACACCCGACCAGATCGATTGGGACGAGCATCTTTCCAAAGTGCAGTCGGTGTACAACAATTCGGTGCACTTGTCCACGGCACGCACACCGAATGAGCTGCACAAAGGCTGGCAACCCAGCCGCCCGATTGACTGTCTGAATCCAGATCAAATTCAGAGAGTACCGCCTGGTATGAGAGAATTTGCCATCCAGTATGAGAAAGACTTGGAGCAGGTAAAGAAGAACATCCTTAAGGCATAGCATCAAATGGTAGAACAGGCCAACAAGCACCGGCGTCCATCGCAGTTTACAACTGGTGACCTGGTCTGGGTTAAGTCTAAAGAGTTTGTTCCGGAAGAAGGGATCTCGCAGAAACTATTACCTGCGTATAGGGGACCATGGCAAGTGCTAGATGTCAAGGGAGAGGCAGATGGTCCATCCTACACTAGTCGGATTCCACCCCACCTGCACACGTACCCGGTGTTCCACGCGTCTAAGTTGTTTACAAACAATCAGTTTCCCTCTCGTCGCTCCATGATCTCAGCAGACATGGATGGAGGTTACGATGTAGACAGAATAGTGGCTGAAGACGTCTTCCGTACAGTCCGCAGGCGGAGACCACAGAGGCAGTACAAGGTTAGATTTGCCTATCAGGAACCCAGCGAAGATTGCTCGTTTCCCAGGGAGGAACTAGTACAGTTAGCCCCTCACATTGTCTCCTTTCATGAGAGAGCTCGGAGGGGAATGAACGCCTACGACCGATAAAGATGGGATTTTTATCGGAGGACCTCGAAATTAGGCCGGTGGGAGTGAAGGGATTCACGCTGCAGGACACCCCAGTTCCGGTCCCAGAGTCCCAAAGTGTCCCAGTCCCAGGCTGCCCCGTTAGGATAGGCCGTAGGGTCCGTAGGCTGAAGCGTCGTAGGTTCGTAGGTGTCGGTACCGAAACGTCATAGGTTGGTAGAAGTCCGTCCAGTACTCGACAAGCAAAGTCCAGAAAAGTCCAGTCCATCCAACAATCCCAAGTCCAATTTTTCAGCATGTCCCAGGAAAGTCTGGAAGTTACAGGACAGACAAAATGTTTGCAGCAGACAGGCTGCAACCGACCAGTACCGGTCTGAAGCAGACAAAACAAAGTCAAGTCCTATATTTAGCTGCTTCAGTGCAGCGGCTCATCACTTGTTCATTTGCAAAAAGCGGAAGTGATGCAGCTGCTTGTGCGTTAAGGCAACTTGGGCACTTCGCACCTGAAGAATCAGAGGGTGCTGGCGAGTTACTCCATAGCTAGGTTAGAGGTAGCGAGGGTAACCTAGCTAGCGAGGGAGTAGGGCAGCCATAGCCGCCAAGGTCACGGTGGAAGCTTACCTGAGTGGGTGTATCCATGGTAACGATCGAGGATAGAGGGAGCACAGAGAGAGAGAGAGAGAGAGAGAGAGAGAGAGAGAGAGAGAGAGAGAGAGAGAGAGAGAGAGAGAGAGAGAGAGAG